TTCCATCCCTCCTCCCCCCTTCCCTATGCCTACTGTAATAAAATAGATTTCATGTATCAATAAAATACATTAAAAATTTGTTCTAATGAGATCTTATGGCTTGAATAGGTGTGAATTTGTAGTAAAATAGATTTTATGTCTGAATAAAATACATTGAAATTTATCTACTGAGGTCTATGACTTGACTAGGTGTGAACTGTATAAGAAATTTTGTCTGTTGAGGAATTGAATTAGTGCAGATTAAGTCTCTAGCTCAGTGCTGATCTATTCTGATTTATAACCTAAATAATGAGATTTTCTGCCTATTCCACCTGGATTCCTGCATATTCCACTCGGATTCCTTCAGAATTCCTGGAATCCTCCGGAATTCCGGAATTCCGGCCGGAATCCTGCGGAATTCCTGGATTCCGGCCAGAATCCGTGGAATCCGGTAGGAATCAGTGGAGGAATGGAAAGTATTGCACAACACCTTCAGCTGCACTCCACCCAGCATTGAACACGTCGATTCTAACAGTGGATGAAGGACTTCGCATGGCAATCATGCGGAAATGACGAGGCAGAGTCTATGTTGTCCGAGGCATAGAAGGAAGTTTGAATGAGGGTAGAGATGAAGGGTTGATAGAATTTGAAGTGGGGGGAGAGGCAGTTGAGGTCGAAGATGAAGTATTTAAAATGGAAAGGGGAGTGAGGCGGAAGGGAAACTTTGGAGGTTCCATGCGAAGGCTCTGCACCCAGGGATGCTGGTAAGGTCGGCCATGTAAGCTCGAATGGCAGGATTAGGATCTGAAGCTTGAAGGGGCGAGGGAGGGCGAAGGAGGGTCGAAGCCATGCAATTATGGTGGGTTTATGTGAGGGGTGTTGGATAGTGCTTCAATGAGTTCTGGTTTACACCAATGTACTGGTCGCGTACAAGCACTCGTGTGTGTTTTAAGAGTGGTGGCCTGTGAGTAGGCCTTGGGTGGGACTTGATCATCATGCGCATCTGAGGATGGCCATTTTATGTTGTAAGAAAGAAGCTCAAAATTCAAGAGACGTACCTTTGTGTTGAAGTTCTAAGTATGTTTGTAGTTGCAACTCAAGTAGGCAGTGGCACGGGTTGGGGTAACCCGGCGGGGTTACGGGTCAGGGTCCGGGTAGGACATCCCGGACACTGATACCCGAAGTACCCGTATTTCTATTTTGGGTGGTAGGAGTCTGCTACGTCAGCTAAAACTAACAGAACGGCTAAACTAGACAGAATGATTAACTGTACAGTCCTGTAAGCCACCGAAAAACGGTGCAATAAGTATCCAATCTCAGGCAATCAGATACCCAGTCATCCACCACGATGGCAAAGTCGAAAGACGATGCACAGTCCACTAAATCCACTAAAACGACCTCTACAACAAAGACATCAGCTTCATCACTTGTAACAAAGGCAAAGTCCAGCCTTGCGACCCTCAAGCGGAAGGCCACAGCGGTTCTAAGCCCTAAAAAGAAAAAGGCTCGCATCCCTGAGGACGCCCAGACTGAGGTAAGATTAACATACCTCAACGCCGCCTGCTAATAAATGATATCCGAAGGCACACGTAATTGATGTCGACGATGACAATGGTGACAAGCTTGAGAGTCCTGCTGAAGACGAGGAAGATGAACTTAGTATGTATTACCGTTCTCCTCATGACAAGGTATACTTACCTGACCTTAGAACATATGATGAAGCACTGGACCTCTCCAGTCTATGCCTTCTACCTCCCTATCCCTGACATCGCGTATGTGGATGGGCGGCGTGCCCATGTCTTCAAGTGTGCTGCGAAGTCTTGCAAGCACACTTGTCGACGCTTCCTTGATGGGCCCGACCACTCATCTACAGGTAACCTCATCAAACATGTCAAAACGTGCTGGGGCGATTCAGCTTATAAAGCCGCGACGGACTGCCAACATGCAAACGACGCACGCGAGAGTGTTGTTCAGCCCTTGATGACGACTGGCACAATCACGACGGCATTCGAACGAAAGGGTAAGGGTAAAGTGAGCTATAGACATCGTCAGCACACAAAAACCGAAACAAAGTAAGTTAATGGGTTGAATACCTTTTTGGATTGTATCTAATAATCATTGTAGAGCCGAAATCGTCCGCTGGGTATCGGAAAGTGTTCGCCCATTCAAGGTTGTTGAGGATAGAGGTTTCCTCTCGCTGATGAAGACGGGAAGGCCGGAGTATTACATCCCATCCGCATTGACTGTGTCAAGGGATGTGCGAATTGTTTTTGCGTGGACTTGTGCCTGTATTGGCAAAATGCTTCAGGTGAGTTTTGCATTAGTATCGTTCTATCCAATGGCAACAAGTGACTCACCAATAATAAAGGAACACACGGGGCGAATCAACTTCGCCACTGATGCTTGGACGTCGCCCAACCACTACGCCTATGTAGCCGTCACCGCACATCTTGAAGTCCGAGGCGAGCTGATTTGTATTGTTCTTGATGTGGTGGAGCTCCCTGTGGTTAGACGATACCTCGATTCGTAGTTCCGTCATTGCTAAAGATGTTATTCAGTCCCATTCCGGCATAAACATGGCTGTTGCTTTTCGTGAGATCCTAGAGGACTTTGGTATTCAGCACAAGGTGATGAAAACACAAACAGAATGAAAAAGACTAACCAATGTACGTCTAGATCCTGAGCGTAACAGCGGATAATGCTACCAACATGGACAAGATGAGTGATTATCTTGAGAGGGAGGTGGCAGCTTACACAACGGTAAATTGAACGCGGTGCTTCAATCACATCCTCAACCTCACGGGTAAGGCGCTGCTGAGGCAGTTCGACGTGAAAAAAAAGGCCACCGATGACGGCGACGAAAGCGAGAGTGACTCGAATCAGGCGCTATCGGCTGAAGAACAGGATTTGTTAGACTTGGCTGAAGGAATCGACAACAAAGAACTTACAATGGCACAAGATGTTGAAGATGGGAGTGACAAAGACGACGCTGGGCGTGATGAAGACCAGGAGGAACTTGACGAGTGGGTCGATGAGGTCTCGAACGAGATGACTGAGCAAGAACGACTGGTCCTCGCAGAAAACATTTGGCCTGTCAGTCGTGTTTTAGTGAAGGTAAGACATAACTACCAAGCACATACCTTATTGACGAAGTCTCCAGCTTCGTAAACTCGCATACGCCCTGGTCAATTCTACAACCCTCCTTTTGCCAGCGTGGAAATCATGTCTTGAGGAATTGGCGCTGGCAATTCGCATCATGCCCCGAGACGTTAGAACGCGCTGGAATTCCACCTACGACATGCTCAGCTTTTCACTTCAGTACAGAAAAGCTATAGAACACGTTACCTCGGATCTCAAGAACGACTTGCGAAAGTATGAACTCACGGACACAGAGTGGATAATAGCAAGCGAGCTCACGAAGACGTTGCAGGTGACGTGTTGTTTTCAGTCTCACAGTCACACAACCATTCCCATCCCACGCTTTGGCTCATTCCTCACTTGTTCCTCACGTGGCTGGGTACCCACGGGTTTACCTGTGCTATTGCCTAAACTCAAGGCCATGTTGGACGAGGAGTGGATGATAAGGAGGAACAAGTCATGTGTAATGCATGTGACATCTCATCTCGGTACCCGCACCTCTTCTCCGAACTTATGCATCCCTGCCCCTCTCTTAATGCTTATGCGTCCAATACCCAGTGGACATTTCACATTCCTTACCTATCATTCCCTCTCACCATGTGCTCCATTCCCTCAGCCTTAGTAATAGGCCTCCTATCCCATTTCCCGTGACCTAGTACCTACAGTATATAAAGACCCACTTGTATCTCATGAGAACCCCAGTGAATACAGAGCTTACAACAGTCTTTCGTGTTCACTACCCCAACTTCAGTGTGCCTATTTTAACCCCAGTCACCTCTCGTCACTGTGGTCACAGAATCATCACATATTTTTGACTTAACCCGGCTCTACACAACAAACTCTTCTCGTCTTCTGGACCCCTTTGGTCTGATCAACCGAACCCCTGTTACTGGCGACAAATACCCCTTCCATTTTCTCTATGTCTACTACTTGTTCCCAAACCCGAGCACGTGTGTCGTGTTCTGGACTAGCTACCCAGAACAGTATGTCTGCCAATTCTAATTCCGTTACTAATATTATCGGTTCACAGGTACCCCAGGAGAACTCACCTATGACGGCCTCCACGAACTCTGCCACTTTGGCAGATACCCAGGAGAAACCCCCTCGCTCTTACAGCAAGGTGGTAGCCTCCAGACCTTCCTTGCCAGTTTTAACCAGCGACGAAGGAACGCCTCGGCGTCCCCCTCCGAAAGCCCAAGTGTTGAACATGATGGCCAAGGAGCGTATCCCAGCTCTGGCTGGCGTAGCCTTCAGAAACGACGTTGTCGTTCCTGATCGCAAATCTGATTTATCAGATTCCAGTGAACCGAGTGATCGAGATCACAATCTCAATCCCTGGATCAAGGTGGTACCTAGGCGCACACGTAGCCTAGATTCACTTAGTAACTGTGATATAGGATTGGAAGGGAATGCCCAGAGGCCATAGTCAAACAGTGGTATATAGCTAGATTTGGATATCTTACATAATATATTGATCTTTTGTCTTGAACCACCATCTTGTCAGCAGTCTTGCCATCCTCTTGCACTACATGTAGTGCTTTGTGTATCTGTACTTCCTACAGTATGCATAATCATGTTGGGCCAGCTGAGTATCTTGTAACTGCTCATTGCTCACTCATGGGTGTTGATCCCAGATCCACCCATTCTTGCCTCCTCCTTCCCTCTTGGCTTCAGCTATGCGAGAAGTTCAGAGTGAACGCTTCACAATGGTGGGGGCACCGCGGACTTCACCAAAGCATGGTTGAAGTCTGCATTTCTTGGTAGAGGGAGAGCTGGAGAGTTGTGGGAATGCGCCAGCTCATCACAGGAGGAACCTTAGCATGGATGGTAGCTGCTGCTCGCGCTCTTCGCGGCGGGCTTACTACTTCATGTGAAAGGGCTCATCCATCCTTCAGTTGGATGAACCATTGACTTTAGCTTGTGCTTGCACAGCTGGTTGAGGTTTGTTCGATTGGGGTGCTGCGCTGACTCTGAGCAGCTGGGCTTTGGGATTTCGCAAATACGCGGCCTGAAGTCTACTGTGAGGAGAGTTCCTACTCACCTATGTCTGGATTCCGCGACTACGCGACCATTGACTTGGTGAGGAGGTTGCCCACAACCAGTGTTGCCTGCTGCTTTGCGCTGCTTCACTGTCTCTCAGACTCCACCTGTTCCTCAACCATCTCCCTTGTCTTTTAGCATCTAGGCCTCTCAAGAACAGCCAGATGTTCATTGACATCCCTCCAGTTCAGTCTGCTGCTCTGGAAATTATGTGCTATGCCCTACTATGCTTCTCTCCCAATCTTTGCTGTTTTCTTGCTTGAGGAATGAGTGTTCTCATCCTCCTTACTTCTCTATGAACTCCCTGGAATGGCTCTTCTTGGTTTCTGAAAGGTTAGAAGGGTTTGGAGTGGTTTTGGGTTGGATGGGGTTGATGGGACATCAAAATGGGACATATTCACCTCATATCTTGCCGACCGACGCCCCGATTGCTCTCGTCTCTTTTGCGCTGGGAAGCCCTCGTTCATACCTTTCTTTGGACCCCATGAACTCGCCAAACGGTCGCGTATTGGCTGCGCTTCACCTACTTCAGCCTGGTATGACCAAAATGAACATATCTCGTCCGTTCTCGGCGATATCCTCGTCGTTCCTTTTGTTCTTTGGCTCGTTTTGAAGCCACGGTCAATGCGCTTCTGGGAAGCCCTCATACGCGTCAAACGGACGAGCGGTTCCTGTGTTACAGCACCATCCCTCCAACAACCACTTACATGTGACTTGTTCATGTCATATCTCGCCAACCGATGCCCCGATTGCGCTCATCCTTTTTGCGTTGGAAAGCCCTCATTCACACCTTTCTGTGGACTCCCTGAAATCGCCAAACGGTCACCTATTGGCGGTGCTTCGCCTAGTTCAGCCTGGTATGACCAAGATGAGCATGTCTCATCCATTCTCGGCGAGATCTTCGTCGTCCCTTTCGTTCTTTGGTTCGTTTTGAAGCTACGGTCAATGCGCTTCTAGGAAGCCTTCATACGCATCAAACGGACAAGCGGTTCTTGCGTTACAGCGTCATCTCTCCTACAACCATTTCCCCATTCCTATTGTCATAACCTGCTCGCATCGGACGTTCTATAGCCCGTTTTGAACGTTGGATTCGTACCTTTCCGACGCACCTGTTTACGTCAATAACGGACGACAGCCTGGTCTGCAGTATGCATTTACTCCAGAACTGCAGTTTCTGGGTATTACCTCTCTATCTCGACAACCACGGCTCGTCACGATGCGCGAATTATACCGTTGGAAAGGCGTCGTTCGGAGCTTTCGAACGGGTATTTGATCTCCAGGAACAGGCCAGGAATCACTACGCTATGCTCAAACACATTTTTGGCTACCTCAGGATCTCCCCTCTATTTGGGGTGTTAAGACTTGATTGGAGGACTCTTATGGGCAGGGGAGACACCTCAACTGGTTGAGAGTTGCTGCTCGCGCATTACGCGGCAGACTCTTCTTCAGTCATGGTAACCTTCTGGCTCCCTCAGAAGGCTGATTGCTGCTCGCGCGTTGCGCGGCGGATCAGTGTGGAGGAGTTGCAGCTCGTGCATTACGCGGCGGACTCTTCTTCAATCATGGTAACCTTCTGAGTCCCTCAGAAGTACTGATTGCTGCTCGCGCGTTACGCGGCGGATCAGTGTTGAGGAGTTGCTGCTCATGCATTATGTGGCGGACTCTTCTTCAATCATGGTAACCTTCTGGCTCCTGATTGCAGCTTGCATGTTTTGCGGCAGATCAGTGTTAAGGAGTTGCTGCTCGCACATTATGCGGCCGACTCTTCTTCAATCATGGTAACCTTACAGATTGCTGCATGTGTGTTGCATGGCCTGTGTCCACTCTGGGGGGCAAGATTTATGACAACATTTTTTTTCTCCCCCTTTCCTTCAACCTCTTATCATTCCTACCCAACTGGCACCACCTCTACCTACTCTGACACCAACTTAGGATCACGGCTTGTAATTTTCCACTGCACGATCTCTTCGCCTCTATCCTCCCTGGCTTGATTCTTGAGATTCACACACTGGAAAAGTGGGGGGCTGTATGGGAGTATAGGTGGAAGATGGGAGGAGAGGTGCAAGCCTCTATCCCATTACATACTCCCCACATCCAGACCACACACCACAATGGAAGCAAGCTACATCATCTTGATGGGTAGAGGGAGTTGAGTTGGGATCAACGATCTGAGTGGAGAGGTGCAAGCCTCTATCACACTATACATGCCTTATACCCAGACCACAAGTATGATGGAAGCATGCTACACCATCGTGATGGGGAAAGGCAATGGAGTTGGGATGGATGACCTGGAAGCCATCCACTTGCATGGTTTCCCAGTACTCATGGTTATACATCACTGAAGAGAGAATGGGAGGATCATATGGGTATTTCTGGGTTAAGCTGGGAGCTTGCAGTGACCAGCTTTTCAGATAGGAAATTATTTGGGGCCAAATTTTTTCTTTCTTTTATTCATCTTCTTTGCTTTGCTACCTTTTGGTCTCATTTTATCCTGATATTCACTCTGGGGGGCAAGAGGATTTCTATTCTATTATTCTTCCCCACCATTGTTTTCCTTACATGCCCTCTGGACATTGGGGGGCTTTGTGATATAGGATTGGAAGGGAATGCCCAGAGGCCATAGTCAAACAGTGGTATATAGCTAGATTTGGATATCTTACATAATATATTGATCTTTTGTCTTGAACCACCATCTTGTCAGCAGTCTTGCCATCCTCTTGCACTACATGTAGTGCTTTGTGTATCTGTACTTCCTACAGTATGCATAATCATGTTGGGCCAGCTGAGTATCTTGTAACTGCTCATTGCTCACTCATGGGTAGTGCTTGGAAGTTAGGTTAATTAACTGGAAAATAACCGAGACCAGACCGGACCTAACCGCAAAAAAACCGGACCGCGGTTAGTGGTTAGTCAATTCTGGAAATGAAATAACCGGTTATTTTGCGGTTAACTAACTGTTAAAAAACCGGTTATGACCGGTTACAACCGACCCTATTATACCCCTTCAAAACGCATCTAAAAGCATGAGAAACGCTAAAAATCTGACAGAGTTATGGTCAAATCTCTAAATTATTGGCTAAAATAGTAGGCTTTCAAGAATATTATTATAAAATTGTCAATTCTTCACCGAATTTAGCGTTCTTGGCCTTGTTTTAAAGCTACGACGCATGGCAATAATATTTACTGCAAGGAATATGAGAAATATACGCCGTTTTAATCGATTTTCTATTTTTTCGGTCCTAACCGGTTAGTAACTGCAACTAACTGGTTTTCATCGGTTATCTTCGGTCCAGTTAGGTTATTTTGGGTCTGGGAACGAACCCTAACCGGTCTCGGTCTTGGTTAGAGCCCCTGGGCACCCAATAACCTAACCTAACCGGACTTTCAAACACTACTCATGGGTGTTGATCCCAGATCCACCCATTCTTGCCTCCTCCTTCCCTCTTGGCTTCAGCTATGCGAGAAGTTCAGAGTGAACGCTTCACAGTAACTCTAGAATAAATAAAGAGTTAACCACTATTAGTAAATCCAACAAAGCTATGAAAGCAGAAAAAGAAACTGTGATCAATAAAGCTGAAGAACGGCTCACAGAAGCCCAGAAGAAACAGATTTCTCACCATTATGAGAAAATTCAGGAAAAGCCACGTAAGAGGGCTGAATCCTCAGTCTCCTGTGGTGAGGGACCTTCTTGTCCCAAAGGGAAAAATACTGACCCTCGCAATTGGGGTGCTGCCCAATTAAGCGATGATGATCTTGACATGGACGCACAACGTGCTGCCCTTGAGTCGTTTAAAGATCGCCATGATGACACATCTGACAGGATCAATTCTGATAAAGAAAATCCTGCCCCTGGACGAGCCTCTAACGAAAGGAAGAAAAAGTTGTTTAAGATCCCTAAGAATCACAAGGAGCAAACTCCTATGTCAGATCTAACAGGACGACATGTCTCAAGAGTAGATGACCGACGAACCACGCGCCTGGAAAAGGTGGTTCGTAATGCGGATAGTCGACCAGTCAATCAAATCGCGCCTGATAGTTATTTGGGCTGCGCACTGGATAACGTCAACCGACACTCTCAACAAAAGCACCACGACCCAGAGTCCTCGGACTCACCTGATTCTGATTCCAGCTCAGAGTCATCCTTGAGTGAACCATCTAGTGACTCAGAAAGTTCAGACAACTCAGGAGAGAGTCCGCGTAGTAAGAAGCCTACCAAACGGAAATTGCGCTGTAAACACAAACACTCCAAATCCAGATCGCGTAGATCTGGACTAAAACCTATTCCCCCGAAAGAATATGATGGAGCGGTGGACGCGCGTTCGTATCACTGTTTTGTTACCAAAGGGACGGAATACGTTACTACTGGAAAAGTCCGTAAAAATAAGCACGTTTTCGTACTCTCCTATTATCTAAAAGGAAAAGCATACGACTATTACACCCAGAATGTCTCGATGAACTATCAGGACTGGACTCTCTGAGATTTCTTCGAGCAGATGTTTAACTATTGTTTTCCTGTGAATTACCGAATGGCCCAAAGGCAAAAATTAAGAAAGTGCTTCCAGAATGATAAAACAGTATCGGAATACACTTACGAGTTGGAAGAACTCTTTAATATGATTGGAGTAATTGATGACCGCGAAAAGGTTATCAAACTCTGGAATGGCCTTCGTAGCTCCATCCAACGCGCTCTGTGGTGTGACGGGTACAACCCAGAAATTTCCGAATGGGATGACATCCGAAACAGAGCGGAAACTATTGAGATCTCTGAGTCAGTGCCTGACCAACAGTGCAAAAGCAATAATCATGGAACTCACAATAATTCCCAGAATAATGGGAACCCCCAACATAAGAGGGGAGTAGGGAATAAAACCTCGGGATCCACGAGCAGTTTCCAGAAAGGAAATTCCCAAGCACCCTCGGCGCAGAGAAGTGGCTCCAGCTCCCAGAGGGGAAATAGCCGATTTCAGTCTCAACTGCCTTGGCGAAATTCCCACCAGAATAACCTGTTGTGAAATAGGGACTGTCATGGATCGGCAAAAACCGGGTATTATCCGTGGCCGTTGATACCTGTCATCCACGGATCAGACCCGTGGATATATATAGAAATCCATGGATATCTGTGATCCGTATGCTATATTTGGACGACCTTGGCAGGAGCAGCTGCAATGCACTGCTGCCCTTTGTACGCCTGTGGAACTCACTCCCTCTTAAAATAAAAACACCCCTTGATAAATTTGAACAAGAATTCATTGAAATATAATTATTTCTTCAGCTTTTCCTTTGTATTTTACTCTGATTTTATTATTCCACACTATATATGCATTCATAGAATGGACTATGTTACATTTTTTTGACGTGAATGGTATACAGAGATTAATTTGGTCTTGAATAAATTAACAACATCTTTAACAGGTCAGAAAGAGAATGTGTATATGGCAGATCAGTGACAAATACATACCATACCCATCTGTGGGCATCGAAAATTCTTACAGTGGTTGGGGTACTTATATGTATTTCATACAAAATGTGATGCAAATATAAAGTGCTTATACTTTATGAACCTTCCAAATCATGTATAACACTTGGGTAAGTAGTATGACTACACTAGCATTTATAATGGTATTTGATGCTCATCCTGCATCCAATCATTAACAGTATGCATAAAGAGCAATTTAAAAAATGTGAAACTAATTTGATAATGGAAAAGAAACTAAAAATTCTTTCTCCAAAAAAATTTGGGATGTTTTCAAACATCTGGAAATGGGAGGAGTCTGACAAAGTATGAATTTTGCTGATGACAGCTAGATAATATAATTTAAGATGACTATATTTAATTTGTCACTACTTTTAAGACTCACTTTATGTCTGAATCATGATGTTTGCTCTTCATGTGGATGCTGGTAATATTTTCATGGACTGAGGCTTGATCATATCATTTTCCACTGTTATTAAATAATGAGCTTCTACTAATATTCACATGGGATATTACAGTAAAATTTATTAGAATAAAAATCTCCCAAACGAGAGCTTTCCAACGCATATTTTTACATGGAAAATGTTGAAGAACTCGTGAAGATATATGGAGGGCTGCTCTGAGCCACTATACCCACGGATATATCCGTACCGTGGCTTATCCAATCCACGGATCGGATACGGATAATACCCGGGTGTATCCATGACAGTCCCTATCGTGAAAGACGGATTGGAAAAATTCCAGATCTAATAATTATCAGTGGGAAAATACAGCCCCTAGATTAAGTGATAAGGAGAAACTGAATTACTCACCTCGGGGTCTTGCTTCCATTGCAAGAAACCTGGTCATATGTTGCGGAATTGCCCCCTGGGAAACACCGTTAAATCCAACAGCAATAATGGTAAACCACCTGGTCTCACAAATTATAACATCGAGATAGAACTGGAAGTGGTGGAATCTGATGAGGCAGAACCTATTGACTCATTAGAACTCAGTGTAATTAATTGGCAGGATCTCAGCCAAATTGATTGGGTGGAGAATGAACCTTCGTGGATGGCCTGTGTCCCAAATTTACCAAGGAGAACGTTGCTCGGGGATGCCCTAGCTATGACAGCTGAATATGTGCTTGACATAATGCAGCCTTACCCAGGTGATAGCAACGCTTTGGGCGATAATGGAGTTCGTCAATGTTTCAGTGTCAACCGCACCAGCAACCCCAGCTGGTACCGCATTGTAGACCACCTAACAAAGGGTGTCCGCGTGGTATCCACATCCAAGTTAGAGAACAAATATTTCAAACTCGGTGAATGGTACTCACGCCAGCAGTCACGTTGAATTAAAAAGCTCGCGAAGCTAGACTGTACATGGACGATGGGCGATGCATATAGTGATAACACCATGAATGTCCTACACGGCGGGATCCAAATGCTATATCCTTCAATTGACTCGGATATGGATCCTGAAGGCCGGTTTTTCATAACACACGGCCACGACACTGATGAGTATGTCATCTATGATGAGGAGTTTAGCGATAGCAACCCACTTCGAATTGATAAATCAATTTTGACGAACACTCACTTCGATTTAGCCAAATGGTACCACACTAGACATTACCCAAAAATCCCACTCAACATGGATGACATCGACCTAGATACATCCCTATTTGAGAACCTGAATAAAAATGATGAGCTTTGGCTTGACCACTCTGATGAGTCAGACTCGGAAGATGGTTTGCCCGACTTACAGTCTGTTTTTGATTTGGACTGGGATGATGAAAACGAGTCCCTCCCCAACCATCGTAGTGACTCAGATTCAGATGACGGCTTGCCTGATTTACAGTCCGTTTCTGATTCAAATTGGGATAACGAAAATGAATCACTCCCCAGCCTAGAATCCTTGAATTCATCACTCCCCAGCCTAGAATCCTTGAATTCATCAGTCACAGACATGGAATCAGATTGGGACGAGCGTATCTATACTCCCATGGACGATGTGCTGGGAGAGGCAATCGAACAGATCCTGGAAGCCTCAGCACCGTACCCAGGGGATGCAAACATTTTGCAAAACCCTAATAACTGCTTCGACGCTGAGCGCGTAGAGGATGGGCGGTATTGAGTACATGATCGGCTATGTCAAACACACCATTATCTGCCAATAGAAGTGGTCAGACAGCCAGAATTCGCACCTGGCAGATGGTACAGTGTGCGTTGCTCGAATCGCGCCAGGAGTTCACCTGCAATAAATGATGATAATACCCCATACCTAACTATGGGAAACGTTATGGAGCGCGAAATTACTCGTTCCTTGAGACGAGGTGCACCTTATTCTTTTGACAGCGAGTTAGATCCGCTCCTAAAGCTTGTCCTTCCACAGACCGTGGCTCATTCAGAAGCTGGCGTGTCGGATATCAATACTGAGATTATATCCAGCGAAAATGGAAGATTTGTTCTGCACGACAGCAAAGCGTGACTTAATCATTCAATTCCCTGTGTACTTTGTTGTCTATGTACACATGCCATAATCCGAACGAAAAGAAGCCAGTGAAATGAACTTGTATAGGACCAAGAGATGGTAATATGGAGGATGTACACGAAAGGCAGTAACGCAGCTCACATTCAATGCGGGCTCCTTCAGCTTGTACAATGCCCTTTCCGGAGTTTCCCTCATGTAGCTCTCGACCAAAAATGTCTCCCTTCTGCACGCGTCAGATGACATAGTTGAAGAGCCCTTAGGGTAGCAGTCCGCTGATTCGTGTTAGGACTGAGTGAATAGAACATCGTAGTCGAAAGACGAGTATCGACTGTAGATGAGGTATTTGATGAGTTCATCGACCGCTCTGTGCAACTATTGCGAGAAAAGCCCCAGTAAAAGGCTCAGAGGTGAATTCGATGATGTTATTCCATTGAGGGACATTCGTGAATTCTTGTTTACTGATCCAGAAAGGTGGTGAAAGGTTGGTGGGAAACACCCAAGTAAACAAACTATATCTCAAGAACCTGAACGTGAAGGACGGACTTGTAACGTGAAGATTGCGGGAGTCGCCGTGGGATGGCTGGACACTGGACTCCTGTGAGTCCTCAAAGGTCACAGATTCAGCTATGGCGGACTCAGATGCGCAAATGACAGCGACTTCTCGAGGAAAAATAGCTCATTGAAAGTCGCAACCCAGGGAGCTACCCAGGTTTGAAGCACGTCGTGGCATCCCTCTGGAAGCGGACTTTCTCTACGGCGGATCTTGAAAGTCGCAGGTTAGATGTCATTCGAATTTACGGTAAGTGAGCTCTTATGCTGTGCACCTGCAAACGAGAATGATTGTGACCTTGCAAGCGGAAGATGCTGTACGTGATCACGCAGCGATTGTAGGGCCGATCTGTGCAGGAAGGGTTTATGGAAATGCGACACAGGCATAGACAACGTACCACTTGCGATTCCGACTTCAATCCAATTCAAGTTCTAAATGCGAAGGTTTTGTAGGGGTCCAGACGTTCTACCAACCAGAATATTTTGTAGCTGGTGGGGTGGTTCAACCACCAAAATCGATGTTCCATTTTATGTTTCCCGTTGCCCTAATAGAATAGCCAAGGTGAGTATACATGGTTCGTACATCAAACTCGACCCACCTAACCGCACAGACCAGCTTCCTCCGTTCCGCGCTAAGCAGCACCGCACGTCTACGTAGCTCTGGGCACTGGATTTGAAACTGGCGGTGAGAAACCCAAAGTGGGTCACTGACCAGTCCGTCACGGTCTTGAACAGTGAGGAGCGCTTTTCTGGCAGCCTGAAAGGTAACTGATCGATAAATCAGATATGAAGACCTCCCGTCGATGATCGATAAGGGCTTACCATCTCAGCACGTTGAACTGTCCCGACCATTGAGTGTCGTGACCGTCGTCGTAATCTTGAGTCTGTTATTCTGGTAAACACACAGAGTGAGGGCGGATATAACAGACCCACCTCGACTTGAAACGTGGAAGTCCTGCTTGTAATCTATGACAGCGATGAGATGCACGAGTTTGCCCCCTCTTATTTGACACGTCATTTTGGTGAAACACTTCAAAAAGGCATAAGCCCTTACATACGACGATTCCGCAATCTGAGCTTATCATAGGCGTCGAGTTGTACATCCCTTCTGTGGTGAACATTTATCGCGACCGACTTTCAGAGAGTTTGAGAGTTGAAGTGGGGACCGATTCTCTCCCGAGATTGATCAGCTTCGTACGAGGTGAAAAGCTCGAGAAGAAACCTACTATTCCCAATGTGTCTTGTAATACAGGAAACGGTTTTGAACCTGGGCCCCCACAAACATTGCCACTCTGGAGAAGGTGACACCGAAGAGTGCATTGCTGGCGGCCTCGATGTCGGCGAGACGCACAAGTTCATTTTTTTAATCATAATTAAATCAAGAACTTTCCGTGAAACCGTAAGTCCTTACAGGACACCATTTTCACACTTGCCATGTGAACCGAGGGCCAACTTTTGTGAGGGAAGGATAATGTCCCGCCCAGTGGTCAAGAAGTCAGATGGTGGTGAACGCCAGGATGTCCTTCACGGCAAGAACAGTCAGCTTCAGAAAAGGCGCGAAGCGCAAGAAACAACTCATCGTGAAGGGCGCAAGATCGAAATCTCCACAAACTTGAGGTTACCCCACTCTGCACCGACGTCGCTGTCTACAAAGTCGCATGCTCTTAAAGGTCCTTTATCTCTTTGAACCCATACTATTTCCCAAAAATCTCCCGGGGCCAGAAATACCGTTGCTGATCGACATCTTCACAGAAGTCATGGAGTTTGAGAGTAGGAGCTAGGGCCTTCCTCATCGAGGCTGAGAAGATGCGAAAGAGGCCTTCGCAGACGAGGCCCGGGACGTAGTGCCAATATAGGTCGTATTCAGAGATGGTGGAGAGGTAGATGGAGCTGGTGGTGGCTGCTTTGTGGGCACAGTCTGCGATGCTACTTTCCCTTGTTCAGAATCCGAAGTGGGGGGGGCGGTCGAAGACGAATTGGACAAGGCCGGTTTGAAGGCGAATTCGCCGTAGCAAGAGCGAATGGCACCGTCGAAGAGGAAGTCGACGTCGAAGAGTCCAAAGGGGGAACAACGCCCATACCATGCACGATACACTCCTGCAATGGTTCAACGGACGAACATGGTCCGCATCAACATTCCTCCCTCTCCTTCGCATCTGCCATCCGAGATTGGGCTTGAGAAGCACAATGAAACGGCGATACCCAACTCCGAGTGATTATATGCGTATTGCGTGGAGTAGAGGTTGTATCCCAAGTCCAACTTTGTGAATCTCAAATTCCTTTCACGTCATTCATGCCCACGGAAACCCTGGCATTCCTCCTCACTGAAAACCTGAAATCAAGCACAACACCCTCAGGCGCGCGGGCGCCCCCACCTAGCATCAAACATGTCGATTCTGACAGTGGAGGAAGGACTTCGCGTGGCGATCACGCGGAAATGACGAGGCAGAGTGTATGTTGTCCGAGGCGTACCGGGAAGTTTGGATGAGGCTAGGGAAGAAGGGTTGATAGAGTTGAAGTGGGGGGAGAGACAGTTGAGGTGGAAGACGCGGCAATCGAATTGGAATTGGGGATAGAGGCGGGAGGAAAGTTTTGGAGGATTGGAAGGGCCGGGACGAGCGCCATCTCCTTCCGCCATGTTTGTTCGCACTGGCACACCCTTGCATTCTCCATTCCCAGCCTCTGGTCGTCACTCTGCATGATTTGGCCCAAGATGGACTACCTCCTCGCGCGGCTTGGCTGAAAAAATTGAGGTCGCGTACTAGGCTCTCCCTCTACACCGGCATCACCAACTTCCCTGAACAACTGCATGGTGTCGAAGGAGAGGCGGTTGAAACCTCACTGAATTCTCGACGAGGGTGCTTCGATTTGATTCCCACATTATGACTGGCACTAGGTCGGCCATGTAAACTTGGATGGCGGTATTGGTATCTCAAGATGACTCCGTCTTCAAGGGTGCCATTCACTCCTGCTACTGTGGCGTGGCCTTGTCGAGTTCGTATTTGACCCCCACTTCGTCGAGTTCAACCTTGGATTCTGAAAAACGGAAACCGGCATGGCCGACTATGCCCACAAAGCAGGCACCACCGGCTCCATCTACCTCTCTAGCATCTCTGTATATGACCTGTACTGCCACTACGTCCCAGGCCTCTTTCGCATTTTTTTAGCCACAATAAGGCCGCTGGCTAGGCTTTCAAACTCCATGGGCCTCCTCCAAAAAGCCATTCATTCCTGTCATGAAAATGTCGATCAGCAACCGTATTTCTGGCCTCGTGGGTTCAAAGAGATAAAAGACCTATATGAGCCTGCGGCCTTGTAGACAGTGACGTCGGTGCAGAGTAGGGTGGCCTCAAGTGTGTGTCTTGCGCCCTTCGGTGAGCCGTTTTTTGCGCTTCGCGCCTTCTCTGAAGCTGACTGTTCTTGCCGTTAAGCACATCGTGGCGTTCACCACCATCTGATTTCTTGACCACCGGGCGGGACACATCCTTCCCTCACAAAAGTTGGCCCTCGGTTCAAATGGCAAGTGCGAAAGTGGTGTCCTGTAAGGTCTTACGGTTTTACGCAAACTTCTTAATTTAATTTTGAATCGAAAAATGAAGTTGTGCGTCATCGAGGCCGCCAGCAATGCACTCTTCGGTGTCATCTTTAGGCACTGCCAGCCTGGAGCTCATACAAACAGTACCTTCACTTAGTACGCACTGCTTGTGAGTTCTTCTCGAGCTTTTTACCTCATATGGAGTTGATATCACCGTAGATATAAAGAGAATCATCACCCCCCCTTCAACTCCCACACACACCCTGATAATCAGTCGCGATAAATCTTCACGCCAGAAGGGATATACAACTCGACGCCCATGATCGGCTCAGATTGCGGGTTCGTCGTATGTAAGGGCCTACGCCCTTCTGAAATGTTTCACCAAAACGACGTGTCCAATGAGAAGGGGCGAACTCGTACATCTCATAACACCGTCATAGATCCAACTTTTACAAGCAGGACATGGACGTTTCAAGTCGAGGTGGGTCTGTTATAACCGTTCTCACTTGTCTGTGAACTTACCAGAACAACAGACTCAAGATTACAACGACAGTCACGACACCCAACAGTTCAACGTGCTGAGATGGTAAGCCCTCATCGATGGGAGGTTTTCATATCTGAGTTATCGATCAGTTACCAGAAAAGCGCTCCTCACTGTTGCAGACGGACGGACGGACGGACTGATTGACCCACTTTTATTCGAGGGTTTCTTCCCGCCAGCTTCAAATCCAGTGGCCAGAGCTACGTAGACGTGCGGTGCTGCTTAGCGCGGAACGGAAGAACCTGGTCTGTGCGGTTGGGTGGGTCGAGTGTGATGCACGAACTATGTATACTTATCTTGGCTATTCTATTAGGGCAACGGGAAACGACAGAATGGAAGGTCGATTTTGATGCAACCACCCCACCAGCTACAAACCCTTGTCTGAGACTGGTTGGAAGGACTACACCAGCCATGACGTCGGCAAAATGGAACCACAAAACCTTCGCATTTAGGACTTTAATTGGATTGAAGAGTCGGAATCGCGGTGGTACGTTGTCTATTACTATGTCGCATTTCCCCAAACCCTTCCTGCACAGATCGGCCCTACAATCCCTGCCACTCGACAGGAAGGTCATGTGTAATCACGTACAGCCTTTTCCGCTCGAACCCAAACCGCAAGGTCATTGTGAATGGTAGTCATTCTCGTTTGCAACTATCTCGATTGCAACTCGCGTAATTACTGATTCCTATTCTAGAACGCAGGGAAAAGACGACTCGATTGGCTTTCAGCGTTTTGACGAGCAGCAACCTCGACTCTTTAAAACCCAGGAATAGCAGTCGCCAGCTCTGTCCGAATTGACGTCCGTTCGAGTTTGGATCGCAGGGGTACTCCCTGTGCGGTGCTTCGAATGTGTGGAAGTGGGGTTATGAAGCAAAGCGTCATCTGATGCTCACCGTCGCTCTTCAGCGGTGCAAATGCTCTTTGGCTGTGGGTACACTGAATGCAGGGCAAAGCCGTTAACCGTACACTAACAAAGTCTGCTTAAGGACGCGCTGGCCCAGGTGGTAGCAACCCCATCCATCTAAAGGGAACTGGAGAGGAAACGTAAGTAAATATTTACTTCTTGGGGTTGTAGTTCTGATATCTCTCTGTGGCTAGCTTGCTGTTGGACGGTAGAACGGCTGGCTAGCCATGACCACAATGAAGAAAAGGGCGAACTTCGGTACGGACAACGTGAGTTGTGTCATTCGATGCGGGTGCACGTTCTTGCAGGCTTTGATGTAGGCTTGTCCCCTGATGGTGGGGAGCATACTCAAGATCGAAGGTACGTCTTCAAGCAACGAGTGAACGTGGAAACGTACACGGACATCGCGATTCACGGACGAATGAGTAGGGGGTGTCAGAAGGGAAGATGGGGGTGAAGAGCGAAAGGATGGCTGTGGCGATTCTTGGCTGAGGCAGGGACTTCATCGGCAAAATGGAATGGCACATCACGATAGAATTGTAGCTGATAATCGTACCAAGTAGGCTTTAATTTCGTACTGCCCATGTTACAGCCACTTCTTCAACCTTCAGTTACCGTAGTTCAAGTCCTCTGCGTGGTCAACGAGGGAAAATGACGTCGTGGAAAGAAGCCCACTGCCGAGGAGACTTGTCTGTGCTAAGTGGCGAACTCATGCCACTGCTGGAGCTCGAATGGCGACTCGAAGGGGCATTCACCTAGACTGTAGCAAAACTTCAGGGAAAGTTAACCTGGAGTTTGTACTCACCCTCTGCCTCGCCGTTTGGTTGATGTTTAGGTCTGGCAACAAACTTGCGCGCTTTCACGATCGTCGTGGGCAGATTGAAAAGCTCAGTTGGGGAGCCAATGACGTGTGTATATATTGGAAATTGAGTCAAGGGAATAAAGTTGTACGAACGGAAGAACGAAAAGCTGGGAGAAGCGAGTCAGTGACGTCACTCGAGTAGCAGACCCAGCATAACCAAACAATACACTGTTCATGGCGCTTATCTTGATTCTTCACCACTTCCACCATCTCAGGCATCCCAGCGACAAATGTCTCTCTCCAATGTTGAATCCCAAGCCGCAGAGGATATAGAAAGACAACAGAGACGAGCACGCAGAGTTCGAAACCTCACCGACCGCTTTCGCGTCCTCATCATTGGCCGCGCCAACGCGGGGAAGACAACCATCCTCCAGCGAGTTTGCAATACAACGGAACAGCCGAAAATTTTCAATCCGGAGGGTCATGAGGTATTCTATGTGCTAGACATCATCAGCTCTCATTATTGATATGAAAAAGATTGACTTGTCCAAGCTTGATCCAACTACACAGGTAATGTGGATCTACACTCCCTATTATTTTACTGAAGGTGTGGCAGAGAGGGGAGCATGATATTGAGAATGAAATGATATTTGAGAGCAATACAGCATTTGTCTTTCATGACTCATGTGGCTTTGAAGCAGGCAGAACATCTGAGCTGGATAATGTCAAGGACTTTTTGCAAAAATGTTCAACTGCCAAAGACCTCAAGGATCATCTACATGTGATTTGGTGAGTGACTGAATTGTGACATTGAAGTGCATCTGAATACACCCTGTGTAGGTACTGCATCCCAATTAATGATGAAGCCAGACCATTTACAAGGGCAGAGATAAATTTCTTTGATGAGTGTGGGACTGGTAGAGGTGTGTAAATTATTGATAATCTCTTGAATTTCACCTTTTCTTTTTGTGCACAGTTCCTGTTATTGTCCTGTTTACAAAAGCAGATATGCTTGATGCCCAAACCATCAAACACCTGGTTGATACTGGAATGGATGTTGAAGATGCTATCAATACAGCTCCAGAAGTGTCAGTTGCCAGGTTTGAAGAGAAATTTGGCCAGGAACTTTTCAAGAGAAAGTATCCTCCCAAGGATCATGTGTATTTTCGAGGTATAACAAACTCATTTACTCATTGACAATAGATCAATTGCATTTAACAGATATGCAAAATCCCACAAGTGACTGCAGTGAACTTCTGAGGAAGACAGCAGCCACCTTTTCAGATGATACACTCTTACAGCTGTTTCTTACAGTGCAGCAAAATAATGTGGCTCTGTCAATTGAATATGCAATTATAAGGTACTTGCTTCATTTTGAATGATATGCTGGTAAATTTCTGATTATCTAAAATAATAGAGTTGGCTTTCCAGGTTGGAAGTTATTCAAAGAAAAGAAAGAGTGGAGGAAGATGGTTGAGAAGATACTGAAGTATTTTCCACATATGGTATGTGGACCTTACTTGCCTATACAGTAGTAGAACAAAATAATATATATGAACAGGCGGTAAGCCAACATCCAGTGGGTCAACTAGATGCTAATGGGATCATGCTTTTGTTATAACAGTGGGTGAGTCAGGATCTGACTGGCCTTTCCTGCTTGTTGCTGACAAGAGCATGCCTTGGGTTATAAACAGTGGGTGAGTCAGGATCTGACTGGCCCTTCCTGCTTGTTGCTGACAAGAGCATGCTCTGGGTTTTGAACAGTGGGTAAGTCAGGATCTGGCTGGCCCTTCCTGCTTGTTGCTGACAAGAGCATGCTCTGGGTTTTGAACAGGGTGTAAGTCAGGATCTGGCT